TAATGTATAATAATTATATAGAATTTTGTATAATGTATAATATGTAATGTATAATAATAAATTCCATATAAAGATTACTATATATATTATAATGTCTCATTAATATTCTAAATAATACATAACATTATATATATATAATGTATGATAATACATAATATATAGTGTGTTATAATAAATTTTAAATAAATTATACCATACATATTATAATGTCTCTTTTATATATAATAAATTCTAAATAAATAACTACCATATATATTATAATAAATTTTAAATAAATAGCTATCATAATATAACAATGACAATTAGATAATAGAATTAAAATAATGATTCAATGAGGAACAAAAAAAAAAAAAATAATTATAATGATTTATTGATTTATTATAATCAATCAAAATACCAAATGATATATTATACATATATAACATATGATTATAGATAATAACATATTATGTATAATATATAACATATATATGCTATATACATTATACTTATTTACCATATATAATGTACAATGTACAATGTATAATGTCAAATGTATACTATATATAATGTACAATAAATAATATAGAGAATATATAATGTATAACTTTTGTTTCATAACATTAGTATATTATGTATAATGTATATATATAAAATGATTTATTATATTTAATCTAATTTTATTTATTACCTATTTGTATATGGTTTTAGAAAATACTTACACAATTATAATTTATCATGGTATAATATATGATTGATTTCAAATATTAAAATTAATATAGGTATATATAATATATATGATTGACTTTTTTATCAATCATATATTATACCATGACAAATTATAATTGTGTAAGTATTTTCTAAAACCATATACAAATAGGTAATAAATAAAATTAGATTAAATATAATAAATCATTTTATATATATACATTATACATAATATACTAATGTTATGAAACAAAAGTTATACATTATATATTCTCTATATTATTTATTGTACATTATATATAGTATACATTTGACATTATACATTGTACATTGTACATTATATATGGTAAATAAGTATAATGTATATAGCATATATATGGTATTTATATTATACATAATATGTTATTATCTATAATCATAGTTATATATGTATATATATCATTTGGTATTTTGATTGATTAAAAACATAAAAATTATAAATTTGAAAAATCATTATATATATTATATATATTATATAATATATATAATATAGATATATATTATATATGTTAAAACCTCTTTATAGTGGTACTCTATATAGGAATAAATTCTACATAGTCATAAAAAACTCTAGTCCCAATTTGGGATAGTTATAAATAAGAATAAACTTCACATTGTAATAAGTTATCATTTTTCTAATTCCCGTCTTAAGGAAAATTATCTCCACATAGTGATAATTATCTGTATATTACCAAGAACATATATGTTATGTTACATTATATGTTTAAGATGAAATAAAATATTTATCTAAAGTTATTTGGGACAATGATTTGTATTTTTAGAGTTGTTATCACATCTTTTACCTTACTAGTATGTAATAACTTGTTAGCATGAACACCTTCTTGTTGAAACTAAAATAGTTTTAGCTTCTCAAGCATGTTTTGAGTTTCATGGCACGAAACTTTTTGTATTTCCGTACTATCATCCTTAGGATTATTTCCTTTATCTCCTTATCTAATTGTAGCAATGATTTCTCCTTTGGTTAAGACATACACGATTTGTTGCTCATTTGGATGATCAAGAAAGACATTAATATCCATTTGATTAGTGTGGTAAAATTGTCGAATCTGATCACTCAATTTTGCAATGACTCTTTTATTTTTCTCGTCTATTTCATTTGTAACTTGCAATTCATCAAAATAGAGAGTCCTAATTTTGCAATGCTTAAAACCATTGGCAATTGTCTGTGGCTTCACATCAATTGACCATGCATCAACTGCATTTATAGTTCCATCAATGACATTTATCTTTGCTGATTCCAAGACACGGTCTTTAATCAATTTCAAAAGTAGACAATTGAAGTGCTGAATTGAAATCCCAATACTACTAAAATATGAATTGAAATCCTAATATTGTACTACTAAAACATGAATTAAAAAATAAAAAATAAAAATTATAATTTTTGTAATTACACCTCCATTAAGTTATAACCTCCTTATAATAATAAAATGAGTTAATTCCACCATTATGACTATAGAGAGGTTTTACTCTGTGTATATATATATATATGTGTGTGTGTGTGTGTGTGTGTGTGTGTGTGTGTGTGTGTGTGTAGGGGTGTTCAAAAGAACCGGTTGGAACCGGAACCGGTGGGTACTCTGGGTTTGGTTCTGGTTCTTACCCAGAACCAGTCGTCAATGGGTAGATTCCGGTTTCAAATTTTTGGAATTGTTACTGTGCGATTCCGGTTCCGGTTCCTATAGTTAGGAACCGGAACCGGAACCAGAACCAGAACCAGGAACCAGGAACCAGGAACTGAGACTAATATAAAATAAAATTAAAGATTATGGGGGTTAATAAAAACTTTTGTAGAAAAAGTAATGTGAATACATTTATATTTATATTTCATAACATTTAAAGTAAGTTGGTTTAACTTTTGAGAATCTACCTTTACAAAGTAACGGAGTTTGTAATTTTGAATTTATAATTTGTAGTTTTATTTTTGTTAACAAGTGCCAGGTGGGGGGGTATTTGTAAGTTTTTAAGAGCTTTTTTGCCATTTTAAAAACTGTTGGGGNATATATAACATATATATGCTATATACATTATACTTATTTACCATATATAATGTACAATGTACAATGTATAATGTCAAATGTATACTATATATAATGTATAATAAATAAAATAGAATATATAATGTATAACTTTTGTTTCATAACATTAGTACATTATGTATAATGTATATATATAAAATGATTTATTATATTTAATCTAATTTTATTTATTACCTATTTGTATATGGTTTTAGAAAATACTTACACAATTATAATTTGTCATGGTATAATATATGATTGATTTTCAAATATTAAAATTAATATAGGTATATATAATATATATGATTGACTTTTTAATATATATATATAGTAAAACCTCTCTATAGTGGTACTCTATATAGAAATAAATTCTACATAGTCATAAAAAGCTCTAGTCCCAATTTGGGATAGTTATAAATAAGAATAAACTCCACATTGTAATAAGTTATAATTTTTCTAATTCCCGTCTTAAGGAAAATTATCTCCACATAGTGATAATTATCTGTATATTACCAAGAACATATATGTTATGTTACATTATATGTTTAAGATGAAATAAAATATTTATCTAAAGTTGTTTGGGACAATGATTTGTATTTTTAGAGTTGTTATCACATCTTTTACCTTACTAGTATGTAATAACTTGTTAGCATGAACACCTTCTTGTTGAAGCTAAAATAGTTTTAGCTTCTCAAACATGTTTAGAGCTTCATGGCACGAAACTTTTTGTATTTCCGTACTATCATCCTTAGGATTATTTCCTTTATCTCTTTATCTAATTGTAGCAATAATTTCTCCTTTGGTTAAGGCACACACGATTTGTTGCTCATTTGGATGATCAAGGAAGATATTAATATCCATTCGATTAGTGTGGTGAAATTGTCGAATCTGATCACTCAATTTTGCAATGACTCTTTTATTTTTCACGTCTATTTCATTTGTAACTTGCAATTCATCAAAATAGAGGGTCCTAATTTTGCAATGCTTAAAACCATTGGCAATTGTCTGTGGCTTCACATCAATTGACTATGCATCAACTGCATTTATAGTTCCATCAATGACATTATCTTTGCTGATTCCAAGACACGGTCTTTAATCAATTTCAAAAGTAGACAATTGAAATGCTGAATTGAAATCCCAATACTACTAAAATATGAATTGAAATCCTAATACTGTACTACTAAAACATGAATTAAAAAATAAAAAATCAAAACTTTAATTTTTGTAATTACACCTCCATTAAGTTATAACCTCCTTATAGTAATAAAATGAGTTAATTCCACCATTATGACTATAGAGAGGTTTTACTCTGTGTATATATATATGTGTGTGTGTGTGTGTGTGTGTGTGTGTGTGTGTGTAGGGGTGTTCAAAAGAACCGGTTGGAACCGGAACCGGTGGGTACTCTAGGTTTGGTTCTGGTTCTGGTTCCTACCCAGAACCAGTCGTCAATGGGTAGGTTCGGTTTCAAATTTTTGGAACCGTTACTGTGCGGTTTCGGTTCCGGTTCCTATAGTTAGGAACCGGAACCAGAACCAAGAACCGGGAACTGAGACTAATCTAAAATAAAATTAAAGATTATGGGGGTTAATAAAAACTTTTGTAGAAAAAGTAATGTGAATACAATATTTCATAACATTTAAAGTAAGTTGGTTTAACTTTTGAGAATCTACCTTTACAAAGTAACGGAGTTTGTAATTTTGATTTTATAATTTGTAGTTTTATTTTTGTTAACAAGTGCCAGGTGGGAGGGTATTTGTAAGTTTTTAAGAGCTTTTTTGCCATTTTAAAAACTATTGGGGGGGTTAGTAATTTCACAGGGTACCCAGAACCGGAATCGGAACCGGAACAGTTGTTACAGGTTCTGGTTTTGGGTACCTAGGAACCGGAACCGTTGGTTCCGGTTTTGGTTCCAGATTTGAAGGAACTATCGGTTTCGATTCCTTCAAAAAGTGCAAGGTACCCGAAACCGAACACCCCTATGTGTGTGTGTGTATGTGTGTGTACGGGTCGGGGCAGAGATTTTAAGGTGGGGACAAAACGGGGCCAAACCGGGGAGGGGCAGGCACAAACCTATCTCGACCCCAGCCCGTCCCCGAATTTCAAGACTAATTTTGGGTTAAATCCCAACCTAAATCCTGAATGATTCAGGGAAACCCCATCCTGTTCGGACGGGTCGGGACAGCTCCCGCGGGCCGGGTTTTATGCCCGTCCCTATTTGGGAGGTCTTGCCGGTTAAATTTCCTCTTGAACTCTCCCATAAACCCTATCACCACCATCACCTCCGCTTCACTGACTTCACTCACTCACTGACCCATGAACTCGAACCCAACTCACAAACTCATACCACGCTGCGTTTCATAGCTCACTCACCTCCCTCTCAATCTGAATCAATTTCAATCTAAAGCCTAACGCAAAACCTTCACAATCCTACAATGACGCTTCACTCAATCATAATCCAAAAGCTTCTGAGCACAAACGCCCACTTGGGTCGGCGCGTGGCGGCCCACCACTTCAAACAGTTCACTTACGGCAACCGTAACGGAATGGCCATAATCGATTCGGACAAAACCCTAATTTGTCTCCGAAGCGCCTGCCACTTCATCTCTCTGTTAGCGCAACGTCAAGCCTCGTTCATGTTCGTCAACACGAACCCTTTGTTCGACGAAATCATAGTCCAAATGACCAAGAAGATCGGGTGTTATAACCCTAATATGAACGCGCTGTGCCGAATGGGGGGATTTTTGACAAACAGTTTGAGTCCGAAGAAGTTTCGGTCGAGGAACAAGAAGATTAGGTTCGCGCCCGCGAAGTTGCCGGACTGTGTGGTGGTGTTAGATACGGAGGGGAAGTCGTCGGTGATAATGGAGGCGGCGAAGCTGCAGGTTCCGATTGTGGGTTTGGTGGATTCGAGTATGCCAGGGGAGATTTACAGCAAGATAACGTATCCGATACCGGGGAATGATTCAGTGCAGTTTGTGTATTTGTTGTGTAATATGATTACTAAGACATTTTTAGCTGAGCAAAAGAAGTCGGGGTTGTTGAAGAAGGATAGAGAAAACATTGATGGGAAAAAAGGAAATGGGTATGCATATTTTTGCTTTAAATTTTTATGTTCTATTGCAGTTCATACGTATCTTATTAAGCTTGATATTGTTTTCATTAAATAGTTTATAAAGAATGTTTATAGAGTATTATATAAAGATGAGAACGTTTAGTAAGGAAAAACAAATTCTGGTTTTCAACTTTTTATCATACAATAACATTTGTGGTAAATTCATAATTGTATGAGTCTTATTCTAATTTGCCATTCATAAATGTGTCATATGCTAGTATTGTAGGATACGGGTATGCACGCTTAGTTTATATTTCATGAATACATTGCAATTCATACAAGTCTTATTAAGTTTGATATTTTTTCCGGTATCAATATTTCCTATACTAATATGGTATGGATATAGATTATGTCATTTTGATTATTATCTACCTTTTTAGTTTTTGGGTTGAATAATCATGTGCAGAGTAACCATATTTTTTTATTGTTCTGCTGTTTCAGAAGTTGAGAACTTTTGACTGTAATTTGTGGATATTTTTTTCCTTCTTGATAGCTTATCTATTTTGTTTATTATGAGAAAAATAGGAGAGCAGGAAAAAAGTGAAAGAAAAAGGACCTAGCGAAGATCATTACTCTTCTTCTGTCATCCCTCTTCCTTTCATTTTCCGTAGTGTTAGTACTATAGGGCATTAAATCGCATTATTCAAGTTTGTTGTTTCCTTGTTGGCATAATTGTAAGGCTTGATTTCGTTTCTGAATTGAAGGGAGAAAGTGGGACAAATTGAAAACAGCGAGAAGAAGAGTGAGATTGATAGTTTAAGAGATGAAGTACTAGTTGTTCCTTATGACAGCTTAGCACCTATTTCTGAAGGTAGTGTTAAGTTCAATTTTACATTTCATTTGTTTGCTCTAATGAATTTTATCTTTGTCACCCTTATTATTGTCTTATGATCCTATTTCACTCATTTTATAATTTCAGATACTGTGGAAGTGAAGATGTTTCTAGACAAGCTAGTGGTGGTAAAGTTCAATGGAGTTCTGGGAACAAATATGGGTTTTGGTGGCCCCAAGTAAGTGTTAATTGTCTCTGGAAATTTTGAGCCCATTCCATATTTTGTAGTTGAATTGATTATATCTTCACATTTATATCCTCTTTCAGAGGACCCTCTATGCCGAATGTACTGTCTGTACTAATCTAAATATAGATTCTGATGTTTCTAGAGGATGGGAACATTGTAGTCCTATGTTAGGATTAGCATTTGTGATTACTTTATCTTTATTGTGTTCCTTATTTGTTTTTCTAATTCTTTTCATAATATTCAAGCCTAGAAACTAAAACACTTCAATTTGATTTTGTTTTTTCCCTCTGTAATTTGTATCTTGTTTTGGCAAAATAACTAAGAGCATGAGATGAAAACTTATGTTATGTCATAACTTTTATAATGCTAGTAGAAATGTAAAAAAAGAGTATAGTTTCTTACCACATAAACTTTGTTTTCGAAATATAGAAACTGGATACTTATAAATGTTGAATAGAATTCCCATTAATGAATATAAATTTCTAATATTTCTTACTTTTTTTCAAAAGCTTTAAATTTAATTATCTTATATTGCCTCTCAACGAAAATCTCTTGTGCGGTTGTCATTTACTATGCTAATGTTTAGTGTAATTTTTTTGTGCCTTAGATGTCTATGATCTTTGGAGTGTTAGTGATGGCAGTTCATTTCATTTACACCATCAATAGTTTTTGCATTTAATTTTTATCTTTTATTTATGCAGATCTGCAATTGAAGTTCATGATAAGTTGACATTTATGGATTTGATGGTTAATCAAATTGAGGTCAGCATTTTATTTGTGTTCTTTTTATGTCTTGTTTTCATTCTCTCTTTTCGGGTTTTCCTTCAGGTCAGCATTATATTTGTGTTACTGTTATGTCTTGTTTTCTTTCTTTTTCTTTTCGGGTTTTCCCTCTGGTCTGGCTTGTGCCTAAACCTGCTGTTTGAATTGTTTGTAGTCTCTCAATTCCAAGTTCGGATGCAATGTTCCTTTAGTACTTATGGACACCACTGAAACAAATAATGATACCCAAAAGGTAATTGCCATTCTGTTTTGTTCTTGACCTCAAGATTTTACCAGTCTCCTCATCTAAGCTGTTCAATGCAGGTTGTGGAAAAATATTCCGCCTCAAAAATTGATATTCATTCTTTTAGCCAGGTTAGTGGATCTACCATGAATTTTTGTTTAGTACATCATATTCTACAGTATTTTCTTTAAAACTTGATTTATGAGTTATTAATAACAAGATTTGTTTTGTTGACCCTACTATCTCAACAGAAACCATTAGAAGGACAGACTGGCAAAGATAAACAGTATGTCTTTTCCTCTTTTGTTTCTCTGTACTTATGACTGACTAGATTATCTAATTTCTGGGATAATGGACAATAACTTTTTCAGATTTTTTTTTTTTTTTTTTTTCTGTTCACTTGTTTGGATTTGGAGTCCTTGTTTCCCTATTATGATTCAGCAGCTTTTAAGCTCTTTCATGTGACTTATGTTTTCTGAATAGAGAAATTTTTTGGTCAAATCAAAAGTTGTGCGCCATTAACTGATTTTGCTCTTTTCTCATATTATCCTTGAGTTTATATCAAATAATCATAAACTTCTTGCTGATAGAATTAGAGACATGAAATTGATTGCTTTGTGGAATCAGAAATTTATTTTTTCCAATTTTTCACAATAAAATATTAATCCTAAGTTCACATAAAAGTAGATTTATGTGACGTCTTTTGTGGTGTTACTCATAATAATTCTTACCTTCCAATAATTTTGCATATGCCTTTTATTGACTTTGTAGAAACTTTCTAATGGATTGTGCTATTTTGTGTGCTGTGAAGGCATCCTTCTGACCATGGTGCAGTTTTTCTTTCCCTGATGAAGAGTGGTACTCTTGATGTGTTATTGTCACAGGTAGTTCTTTTGTTTTAATTGTGAACATGTTCTTTCTTATATCTCCATTTAACTGGAGAAATGATAAAAATGAAATTAGAGCTCCTGGTAGGGGAGGGAGGTGTAAGCCTATAATTTATTCTAAGTTCCAACTAACATCTTTGATTTCTTTTCCAGGGTAAGGAGTATGCCCTTGTGGTTCATGCAGATAATGCAGCAGCTGTTGTTGACCCAAGTATCCCCCCATCATGGTTTAAATTTGTTTGTCATAATTATTTTAGTATATCCTTGTACTTGATTGCGTTCTCTTTTGTTATGAGTAAGTGGTGATGATGATTGTGCCCCTTGATTTATGATTTAGAAATCTTGAATCATTTGATTCAAAACAAGATTGAATACTGCATGGAGGTACTGAGGGATGATTTCTGTTCTTTATAATTATTTGGCTTTGGCTCATAGGTTTTTCTTTGTAATAAAATTTATGTCTTTCAGGTGACACCAACCACTTCAATTGATTTGAGAAATAGTATGATTAATTTGCGACAAGGAAAGTATCAGGTGAGTCTTATTTGTCTAGGTTCTGGATCTGGGATATAAGTTTTTTTTAATTTTTATCAAGTTTTGATGGTATAATTGGGCTGTGGAGAAGCAACTGGGAAATGATTTTATTCTTCTATTTATGTCTCTTATCATATTTAAACTAATGCTGTCCATGTAATAATGTATTGCAGCTTGTGAATATCACTCAAAATCCTGCTAAACATGTAAGTTATAGTGCCTTGTTTTACCTCTAGTAGGGATTGACGGAATTTTTACTATTTTGTTAGCATGATTATATTCAGCATTGTTTTTTGCTTAGTATGCCAGCTGATGTTCTTTTTTATTGTTCTTTCATGATCAAAAAGTCAGATGGAAAATTCAAATTTATTGATACAAGAAACTTGTAAGTCAACAGCCAGGTTTTTGGGGATTTACTCTGTTTATAACCTCTGAATGTTCTCAAATCTGGATTTATTTAATTTTTTGTCAGGTGGGTGGATCTGAAAGCTGTCAAAAGGCTTGTAGATACTGATGCACTAAAGATGGAGAGTCTTTCTGCTTCAAAGGTACCATTCTTTTATTATTCTCTGAGGGACGCGACTTAATTCATTAACAAGAAATTTACAAAATTACTGTTGTTCCAGGAAGAAAATGGTTATCAAATTAATTTGCAAGACACAGCAGCTGGTTCAGCAATACGGGTATTCTCATATATATTACATCCTTGGGTTCTATACTACTAATTTGTACTGTGTCTTATCATCATTTTATGGTTAAGCCAGTTCTTTGATCACACTATGAGTATCAATGTCCCTCCATCTCGTTTTCTTCCACTGAATTCAACATCAGACTTACTTCTTCTCCAGGTGATACTACAATGTCATGGTACAACTGAAAAAATAAACATGAATGCTTATTATTCACTTTGTTGACGACCTTTATTTATTCTGCAGTCAGATTTGTACTCCTCTATTGATGGAATCTTAGTTCGAAACAATGCTAGAAATAATCCTTCAAATCCTTCTATTGAATTGGGACCTGAATTTGAAAAGGTGAAATTTTTTTTTGTGACCTATAATAATTTTATTATTGAACATATCGCATTCCTCATGTTCTGAATTTTTATTCCATTCTTTCTTAGGTTAGTGACTTCCTAAGTCGCTTCAAGTCCATTCCTAGCATCATCAAGCTCGATAGCTTGAAGGTGGCAGGTGATGTCTGGTTTGGGGCTGGTATAACGCTCAAGGTATTCATTTTGTACCTTTCGCTGCAGTGTCTCTCTTCTTTCTACATTCTTCGCATGTTTGATCTAATGGTGTGTACTTTCAACTGAAAGTTGGTATTAGATAATTTGCTGGTAAAATATCGTATCATTATATAAGAGGTCTTAAGATTAATCCCACTAGCATCAAGGTTGGTGTTTTTGGTGTTGCAGACGATGGAGACTAGTGCTTTGTTCATTGTAGTTTCTTTTTACAACCATGAATTGATTTTGCCTTTTTTACTTTTCAGGGAAGAGTAAATATTGCTGCTAAACCTGGGATGAAACTGGAAATTCCTGATGGTGCAGTGCTCGAAAACAAGGTAAACTACTGAAGCAGCAAAGCTATGGGAGTGGATGTGGAATTGGTTCTCATATTCCGGTTCACTTTTTCTTGATATAATCAGCTCTGATTTTTATTTTTCGTTTTCCTCAGGAGATCAATGACGTCGCTGACATTTGAGAAGAATCTCTTTCAAGCCTTTTGTTGTTCCATGGTGATAAAGAATATATCGGAGAAAAAAAAATTAATAATAGGTGATTCATGTGAAAATTTCTGAAATATTTTTGCCGATTTCCTTAGTTTTTTTATATGATTTATTTTCTTCTTGTCAGAAAATGAGAGGAAATTCTAGAGGGAGAGAATAGGGGAAATTGCTCAAAATTGTGTACTGTGTAGTGTGTTTTATTTGTAGGATAAAAATAATGGAGGAAAAGCCTCCCATTAGTTACAAATTACAATTTTAACATTACATCACCATTGTTTACCTTCTTATTATTATTTTTTTTTTTAAAGCTGACGTGACAATTGAGATGGAAATCTATATTAATATTAATACTAAAAAATTAGAGACGGCCGTCTATACTATTCTTGTTTTTTTCTTTTTTTTTTTTATCTAAAAACTAGTAAGGAAGTGAAAAAAAAAAAAAAAGTAAGGAAGTATGAAGATCGCGTGGAAACTTTTCCAACCAAGGATCCTCTATAGCATTCTCCGGTCAGGTCTTGAACAAGAGAAGATTCAAAGACTTTAATATAAATTTATAATAACCTTTTTCAGCTTCGGGAAGAGCTCGAGCATGGTTTACGAAGCGAAAGGGTATGAGGGAATGAAGGCCGAAGGGAAGAGGTCTGTAAGTAGACACTGAGGCAAAGACATATGCAGGTGCAGGTGGATGTTTCCATACCCTTTTCAACAATCCAAGGAAAGTGACGCTGATGTATCTGTAGCTGCTGAGGTAGTAGAATTTTTCCATCCATCCTTAACCCCCTTGTAATAGAAGGAATTCTTGGCCTTCTTGTCGGTGTGGCATCTTCGATGAGGTTTCTGTAGTTTGAGTAGAAGCTATTCGATCATGAAAGAGGGAGGGGCTTGCTAAGTGAAGTTAACAAAAAAAAAAAAAAAAGAAAATAAGAACCTTTCCTTTGAAAGATCCAAACGAGCTATTGATTACTCTACTATGTCCTGGTTACAAAAGTGCCTAAATCTTTGACTTTGAAAAGAAATTCCCAAACAAAGACAAAGATGACATAGAGAAACGTAATGGGTATGCACAAATCTTTTGGAATATGGACGCCCATCCATTGTTTTTTTTTTTTTAACAACATAACTTTGGATGGTCGTCCATAATACTATGAACAATCGTCCGAAATGTATGGACAGTCATCCAAAAATATTGGACAATTGTCCATTTATGTCAGTATTCAATCGTCCAACATGGTTGCTTCCACCTGTTTCGGTGTAATTTTTTGGTGCAACTTTTCGGTGGATATAGCATTTTTGTTACAAAATACCCCTATAAAATTATAAATTAGGCTCTCAAATTTTAATTTATTTCAAAAATGCCCTGAAAAAGTTAATCAGTCATTTTTGAAACATTTCAAATCATCCCCATAAAATCACCAAGTACTCCTCACAACTTTGAAAAATATGAAACCCCTTGGAACCTCAACGGATCAGAGAGGTTGTCGGGTCCTGATTTGACCAGCTGGTCCGGTCTAGCTTCTAAAACAGGTGGCAACTTGGTTAGAATTAAATACAAGATTAAGACTTTAGGTAGGTAACCTNAGAAGGCCGAAGGGAAGAGGTCTGTAAGTAGACACTGAGGCAAAGACATATGCAGGTGCAGGTAGATGTTTCCATACCCTTTTCAACAATCCAAGGAAAGTGATGCTGATGTATCTGTAGCTGCTGAGGTAGTGGAATTTTTCCATCCATCCTTAACCCCCCTGTAATAGAATGAATTCTTGGCCTTCTTGTCGGTGCGGCATCTTCGATGAGGTTTCTGTAGTTTGAGTAGAAGCTATTCGATCATGAAAGAGGGAGGGGCTTGCTAAGTGAAGTCAACAAAAAAAATAAGAAAATAAGAACCTTTCCTTTGAAAGATCCAAACGAGCTATTTATTACTCTACTATGTCCTTGGTTACAAAAGTGCAGAAATCTTTGACTTTGAAAAGAAATTCCCAAACAAAGACAAAGATGATATTGAGAAACGTGAAGGGTATGTAGAAATCTTTTGGACGGACGTTTATTGTTTTTCTTTTTTAACAACACAATTTTGGACGGTCGTCCATAATTTTATGAATGATTGTCTGAAATGTATGGACAGTCATCTAAAATATTAGACGGTTGTTCATTTATGTTAGTATTCAATCGTTCAATGTGACTGCTTTCACTGTTTTGATATAATTTTTCGGTGCAACTTTTCGATGGATATAGCATTTTTGTTATAAAATATCCCTATAAAATTATAAATTAGGCTATAAAATTTTAATTTATTTAAAAAATGCCCTGAAAAGGTTTATTAGTCATTTTTGAAACATTTCAAATCATCCCTATAAAATCATCAAGTAGTCCTCACAACTTTGAAAAATATGAAACTCCTTGGAACCTCAACGGATCAGAGAGATTGTCGGGTCCTGATTTGACCAGCTGGTCCGGTCTAGCTTTTAAAACAAGTGACAACTTGGTTAGACTTAAATACAAGATTAAGACTTTAGGTAGGTAACCTAAAGTCTTACTATCCCATTATAGGTCAAATGGTTAAGTTTTATGTATTTAATTTACAAATTGTTGGATATAATTTTAAGAGTTTTACGTTAAAGTAGCGATACAATGATTTAGTATAGCAAAACGCACCTTATAATCTTGTAAAATCTATTTAGGCTAGCGTGAAGAGTCCGAGGACAGACAACTTTATTATGAACACTATTAATCAGGTACTATAGAGATCTCTCAACATTTGATTTTTGACAAAAGGGCCCCTCACGGATTCCCGCCCCAATATCACTCTCCTTTTTAGTCTCTCCTCCGTCTTCTTGCCCAAACCAAAAACCCTCAAATGCCTTCACCTTTCGAAACCATCATCTACAATCGCCACTTGGGCTTCTTAATCTGGCAATCAATCTCCTCCTCTCTCATTTTTCTTCTCTTCAAACTCTTCTTTCTCCCTACTACTTCTTCTTTCCTCGCAACTCTTTTCGCTTTCACTCTCTTTCTCTTTTCCCACTTAACTTTCTCCTTTTCTCTCTCCCTCGCGGCCTCTCCTGCCCCCACTCGCCCTCTTTCCCTCCTCCAGCTCGTCCTTGCCCCCTTCTCTTCATGGACTCTCGATTTCCGCCGCCGCGCCCTGCTCTCTCTCCGCCTTGGGCTGTTTGTGGCGGTGGCCTCCGTGTCGGGGGGCGTGTCGGTGCCGTGTGTTTGTTGGGTGAAGGATTATGATGGAGCTGAGTTGATTTGGAAACTGGGGTTTAGGGGTTCCGTTTGTGGGTTGCTTTATGGTTTGTTTTATGTTTATAATCATAAATGGGTTTTGAAGTTTCCCATTGTTCAGGTTGGTTCTTTGAATCTTTGATTGAGTTATTATCATTTTGTAATGTTGGCAACTTGGCATTGAAATCCTTGATAAAATTTTAAAAGCAAGTTATGTTCCATATTAAACTCTAAGGGCTTAGGGTTTTAAAATGGAGTTTGTTGAAAGGTTTGTGAAGATTTCTTGGTTATGGAACAAAAAAAAAAAAAAAAAAAATGTTATATTTGAATCACCTGTTTGAACGATGAGCTCAATAAACAACTGATTGATTCGTGGATCATTTATAATTGCAGTTGGTATTGACACACTTGTCAGACTTGTAAGATCTTACAAGTTATACGTTTCCATATGTTTGCAGAGCTTGGAGCTTGTAATGGGCTAATCGTATTAATTTTTAATTTTAAGGTCTTGAGGATTCTGCATNGAAGTTTCCCATTGTTCAGGTTGGTTCTTTGAATCTTTGATTGAGTTATTATCATTTTGTAATGTTGGCAACTTGGCATTGAAATCCTTGATAAAATTTTAAAAGCAAGTTATGTTCCATATTAAACTCTAAGGGCTTAGGGTTTTAAAATGGAGTTTGTTGAAAGGTTTGTGAAGATTTCTTGGTTATGGAACAAAAAAAAAAAAAAATGTTATATTTGAATCACCTGTTTGAACGATGAGCTCAATAAACAACTGATTGATTCATGGATCATTTATAATTGCAGTTGGTATTGACACACTTGTCAGACTTGTAAGATCTTACAAGTTATACGTTTCCATATGTTTGCAGAGCTTGGAGCTTGTAATGGGCTAATCGTATTAATTTTTAATTTTAAGGTCTTGAGGATTCTGCATGTAGTGTTCTTTATCATGGTATTCTAGTTTCATTAGCCTTCTTGTTATGAAATGATAATTGATTTTATATGTCTGTGTTGTAGCGCCTCCCTTTCTTCAGTTTCAAGGTGGCACTCTGTGTTGCTATTGGAAAGGCCTTACAGTTTTCAGCTGCAGCTTACTTGTTATCAGCTGTGCCGGTAGTTTTTGTTGCAGACTCTAAGAAAGTAACCTTTGGAAAGTTTATTGCTGAGCAGATTATGTTTTACGTTGGGATTTTTTCTGTGTTCCTATGTTGGGAATTAAGTCACCATTTACATCGGGTTAGTTTTTCTTTTTCAATTTAAATATTGGTTGTTTCAGGTCTTTAAAAGATCTCAGTTTTATGGTTTTTGAATTTCAACTGCTACTTCAGATCTATTTTTTTTCTATGGATAAATAGCAGATTGCAGGAAGAACTATTAATGTTATTCAATGGCTATAAAATATCCATAGCTTTCTTGTTGAAAATATATAAAAAGTTGATGGGTCAATTCTGTAATTTTTTGGCTAGTATGGATGTCAGAAGAAGATCATTAGAGTTTCGAATACGGAATTCTCACCTGCAGCATATGTTTGTAGTGTATGATTTTGAATGTAATCCTAATGTTGCAGTTTATTTTTTTAATCTTTAACCATTACAATTTCTGTAGTTGCTAGGCAATGGTTTTGTAACTTCGTATAAAGAAAGAAAAAGGAGGAAGGGGGAAGGGTTGTGTCTTCCTTCAAGGATTATTTTCTGTGCATATATGTGCATGTATACTTTATGTGATATCCTTACATTCCTGTGTAGGTGCTACATACAAAAAGGTTGATATTTGCACCACCAAAAGGAACAGCAGCGGCAGAAACAAATCCAAGTGAGCCTCTTCTTGCAGCTTTGGAGGAGAGCACCTCAAGTTCTCTTCTACAGTATCTGGCATATCTTGATCTCTGTATGGTTTGTGAGAAAAATGTTGATACTTGGCGGCGAGCTGCTTTCTTTGAAGAAACTAGTGAGACTTACAGAAGAGTCGTAGCTGTATGCTTGAGGCCTCTGGAACAGCTTGCAACAAAGTTGGGTGAAAGTATGGAAGCTGGGTCTATGGACAAAGCCTGCCAACTTTCCAGACAGATGCAGTTGCCAACTGACTTGCATGTAGATTCAAAGTCTTCTGAACCATTGGACAACTTTCAGGTATAAGAAATTGTTGTTGATTGAACTTATGGGTGCAATTTAATATATTCATGTGCATGTGCTTGCAGTTGATAGTTTGTTTAATTTGAATTTTTGTATTTTTTTTATCTTGTGTGACACCACTCTGTTTAAGCAAGTTCAGAGGATCTATGTAATTGTTACTGCAGTCGTCTTTTCTGGTCTCCATGCTTTCATTCTTTCTTTTGAATCCAAATTAATGTGGCAAAGAGATGGAAATGCTCATAATAGTTTTTTTATTGGTGGGGGATTCGGGGAAGGTAAAAGAGATGGTGAGGTGGAAAGTAGTGATTCAAGCATTGTAAATGGGATTTGGTGTGGGTGGTTTAGTTGAAAGAAATCTTGCTTGGTTAAGAAAGTGCTTATGCTTGGGAGGGTAGTTCTCTATAGAATGCTGTCATTTGATATAAATATGGCTTTCACAAAAATGGTTGAGGCTCCAATGGAGTAGTTAGGGGCTCTAGTCGTTGTCAACGGATATTTTTCATGACAGCACTTGTTTCAATGTGACATGAATAAAATTGTGTGATCTTAATCGTATATACTTAGAAGCCATCAGCTGTTCATGACTCTTCTTGTCCATTTTTAGAAACTATTAGCATTAAACATCATTTTCTCTCTGTCTTGTGCTGTTGCTTTGTACTTATGGTATAATCTTTTAATGGCTTCAAAGTTGAAATGGGCTATTTCTTTTCAAAATACTGCATTTATTGCTGAAAAATACTCTATTGGAGGTTAAATGGAAGACTGCTTGTTCCCTTCTTTCTCCTCTGTTAACTCTTTCTTTTTTAGTAATACAAGTTTATTATGTTTCATGCTTGGAAAAATAAAAAAGAAAGAAGAAGAAGAAGAACAGTGAGAATATTGACTCTATGTTGCATTTGAGCTCCACAGAAGAATATCTTGGATTAGCAAAATTAAATTTGACAAATATGTAGTCAAGTGTGTTTTCATCTTAGATGCTTAGAATTTAGCATATGGTTTACAGAGGTATTAGACATTGTTTAATGGTATTAGTGGGTTGTCTGTTGAATTAGCTTGAGAAAGTGGTCTGAATCAATCTTTGTTTAGTCTTTTATGTCTTGAAATTGTGAGAATTTTCTATATTTAGTGAAGTACTGATTATGTGTTTTTTTTTTTTTTTAATCTTTATTGTTTCTGTAACTGCTTCTGTTTGCATTCCTGAAAAGATGCTGATGTATGTGAAGAATAAAAGGTGTTAATGACTTGTACTCTCTGTTCATGATTCTTTTTTTTTTTTCCTTCAGATTATTATGTTTTGATGCTTAGAATACTATTTGTACAATCATTCAAAACTTTGAGAATCTTGGAATAAACTTTTCATTAAGACATTTCTTGTGCTATAGATTAGACAAAATTAAAGATTGGGCATGTTGTAAGTCTGCTTTGTGTGAATTATGATGACAAATTAACTAATCCAATGACTTGGGCCAAATTTTGCAGCTATGTGCTTGGTGTGCCCGGGCAGTCTCTGCGTTGACTGCACACTCACGCAAGGAAGACAGGTTTGGGGTTGCTCAACTTTCTGGTAGTAACGCTGCTGTTATCACCACCCTTCTGTCCTGCCTGCTTGCTGTTGAAGCTTTTATGGGGAAGAAGACTAATTTGCAACCGCCTCATCATTTGATGGGACCAGCTGGTATTAAATGGGCTGCATTGGACACCGGCAGAAGAGACGTTGGAATAGGAAAGAAGAAAAGTGGCCAACTACATCCAAAAGCATACGCCATGGCTGATGTTCTGAAGACCTCAATCTATTGTATTGTCTCTGCTTTCCATGACGAGATGATTAGTAGTGCCAAAGCTGGTCTTCTTGAGAAGGATTGGCTTGCTGTTGGAAAACCTCTTTTTGGTACTCGTGAGCTGCTCTTGCAGAAACTGCAACATTTCCTGGATTTTCGAGCAAGTTAACAGCTTCCTTGCTCAAGCTTGAGCTGTCTTTTTTCTTCCCCAATTGGATTGATGAACAGCATGTGAAGAGTTTGGCTTTGCGAGATCAGGTAATTGCATTTTTGTTGTAAGGAAAACTCAATGCCATCTTAAAATAGTTAAGTCTACAACTGATATAGTACAAAATGTATTCTGTATTTTAGAGTTTAGTTCCAGAAAGGTCTTTCAGTTGAAGTGGGGTGAGGTCACTATTTGGCTTGGAGGGCTATTTGTTTAATGACTAACAGTTGCATACAAATTGGGAAGGAGTTTAATTCATTCCAAATTTTTTTTTTTTTTTTTTTTTGTGAATTACTCATTATTCTAGGTATCGCTTTGGTATTGTTGTGACTTATAAATCTCTATGTTAGTTAGACTCAACTTGATCTACTCCAACGATAGGTGAATATGCATGTCGAAGAAGTAATTAGTTTTAAGCAAGAATAGTTCAATCATTTGATAAAAAACAGGTTTTTAAGTTTGAGTTTCAAATACGGTGTGTTTATACGTTTGGTTGAACCGTAGAGGATACCAAAATACTTACACTTATGGTGTGACTTGTCAGTGATCTTTTGCTCAGTTTCTTTTGAATCTGATCTGGGGACATTTATGCTTGAAAACCAGACTCAAAACACTAACCCTCAAGTCCATGGACCTGAAACACAAAGATAACATAAAATATAGTTGAAAATACAAATGATTGATATTATATGATATTTGATTATTTTGAGTGGAGAAATATCTTGATATAACCATGTCCATGTTGTGCATTATTGAACTTTAATGGAGATATTGTTGCAGAGCCCTATAGTGGTGGATAACATTATTTGATATTTTTAAATTCGAGTTCTTCAAATTAGCATCCTGCACAATTGGGGCATATGCATGGAAGAATATTTAAAAATTTCATGTTTCTCACTTCTCAAATATCTAAACTTTATAGGGTTTCATTCAATTATTAGGTCTTTCCCATTCGGAAAATAGGTGAGGGTTTCTCATAATATGTGAGTTCCTAAGGTATACGTTAAGACAATCCTTAATTATATATATATACTCAAACGATATATATATTGATTGTGTCGATGATTTTGAAATTGAGTTCTCTACATTTGATTGAAACCTTTTCCACGATCCACTATTCTTTTTAACGAATCGGAAAATCTAGCCAAATCAAACTGTAATCCCTATATTTTGAGATAGTATGACTAGTGTTTATTAAATTTTGGTTGAATCAAGCCTTCTAAAAGTTCACATTCTTGTGTAACTTTTCTTATGCAAACTTTATTTGATATTAATGAAAATCAAACACAAACCTAACCATATCTCTAAGCAATTAAATAACCACACAACTCTTCCATAATTAATTGGCAAGCTGTCGGCTGTCCTGCCATTAGCTTCCATTCCCATTATCATTATTTTAATTAAAAGAAAAAAAAAAAAAAAGTTTAAGACTCCTATAGAAGATTTTTCATCATTGCCTAAGAGAAGAAAAAACTTGAGATGACACATGTACACCATGTCATTCGAAACTACATTCAGTCATAATATAATCTCATATACGATTTTATTATTAAATTTTTTTTTAAATTTATTAAAAGGTTTACTATTAAATTTTAGGTGTTAAAATAAATGATAAGAGATCAATTCGGTAAAATTTAATAATTTATAATAACATATATTTTAATAGTTAACCAACAGTTCATGAACGATGCAAAAATTTCTCTTATTATAATATAAACCGTGGGATTAATGTCATTAACTCGGTATTATATCATATATGTATTTATTTATTTTATTCACTTTTATACTATTATTCATAATTTAATATAGAAAAGTGTACACAAATTAAATCAGTTTCACCTAAAATTTTCTAGTCACGTCCACGATATATTGTTGGGCTTCTTTAGAGCCACAAGTATCCAACTTTCCAACAATGTTGAATTGGTTGAGTCATCAGTGGCTTACTATATACCCTTATGGTCATGACTCGGCTCAAATAGCTCCATGCACTGAAAACAGTTTTAACTACAACCAATCATCTATCTTTGCGTTGACTCGAATAAATTACGATTATAATTTAATGATTAATTCTATGATCGTGATTCTAAAAAGTCTTAAAGTAAAACAAATATATCCTCTGATTGAATATAATTACAGCTTATTGATTGATATTACAAATTCATGTATTGAATTTTATAGTAGTCTCAAGCTATCATCCATTAAGAAATAATAATAATAAAAAAAGTAGTCTAAGTAGACTGCCACTTAAATTTTGACAAACCAAAAAGGAATTTTGACATATATGAAAGTGGCTTAACACGTCAACAAGCACTTCTCCAAGCAAATTAAGTGCTTAATTGACTGATGCGTGGCCACTAATAAAGATTAAGACTCCCCACAATTTGGGCATAAAATTCCAAACAATCAATAACTTGGGAAAATTAGATGCTTAGAACAAAATAATTATTCCCATAGAATCGTTTATTTTTTTATTTTTTTTGACCAGAGATGTTTGGGCCAAGCTTGCGTACATCTTAACTAATCTCTCGGACTTTGAAGTTAACGACTGGATAAACCCTCCAGTGGCCACCTCTTTAAACCCTTGGAGCTCTGAAGTTAACGATCGAGTGAACCCTCCAATGGCCATCTCTCTTAGCAATCGAACTCAAGACCTTTTGAGTAATACACTCAAGAGTCATTATCACCCCATTTAACCACTCAGGGGTGGTTTAGAATCTTTTCTTTGGTTTTACGTTTTGTGGGTTCTATTCTAATTAATTTAATGGTTTTGTTTTTCCCTGCCAAAGTAGCTTTGCTAATATGATTAATTATGTGTTAATTAATACTTTAATCACAATTATTAATATGTTTCTGTATCATGCACTCAAAGGCTAAAAGATCAACTTTGATAAAACATTTCTTTTCTTTCTCAAGTTCCACATGTAAATAGTCTATATGCTTGTCCTATTTAATTATAAAATTTTATGTAATTGTCTCTCGAGGTCATGCATTATTGAACCAACGATAAAAGAAGAATTCGAGATGAACCGTATACTTACATGTTTTGTATCCGATGCGTGCAAAGTGTAAACAGTAAAACTATACCCTAATTATACACTTGTATGTATTATTATGAGTTTATCATAAGACCTTAATTTAAATAAGAATAATACTACATATACAACTTTGTGTGTTTGATATATTATCTCCTTTATTTTTTAAATTTATCTCCAAATATGATTTATCTAATTATATTAAAACACATTAGTTTATACAATATTAAGAGTTTGTATATGTAGTATTCTTTTTATTGAGAGGGTTATCCTCGTGACCCACAAAAGAAAATAATTATTTCAATAAAACTAAGTGAAATTTACCTATTATTATCATCACATTTAATATGCTACTTTGACCTCAAGTTAGGAGAAGTTTAACATTAAATGGCGACATTTGATTGATAGATCATTTTATCAAACACCATGTATTATTAATATTTTAAAAATCTTATAAGAATTTGACCCGTGTCAATTTGTCACAAGACTCACGACAAAATCCTTTTAATGCCCTATAATTGCTCTCATGCCAAACACCACTAAGATATGTAGTCCCTGCTGACAACATTTCTAGCATCAATAGCAAATTCCCTTTTTTTTTTTAAATGATTAGAGTGTTCGGACCACTTTGCACCTATCTCAACTAATCTCTCAGGACCTTATAATTAACAATCAAGTAAACCCTCTTGTGACCATCTCTTTTAGCAATTAAAGAAAATCAAACTTAATACTTTTTAAATAATACGCTTAAAAATTTCTATCGTCCTATCCGATCAACCAAGAGTAGTTAATTTAGCCGAGTAATAGATGCCTATGTTCAATGTGTCTTCGATATTGCAACCTAGATATAGTTGAAGTTGACATGCTAAATTAATTGAGCCACTTAAATGTTCCCTACACCTAATTTAATTTTAATGGATTATCACATCACATAATATGTGTCATATCATCATAAAGCATTTTGATTTTGATTTCTATCATCATCGTAATATTATTTCAGGGTTTTATTATAGTAAAGAGGTCACGTTAACCCTCTTCATAATTAATGGTGATTTGTTGATTTATCTATGTTGCCTGTCCAAGTATCATAACCCCTTTTTTTTTTTTTTTAATTCTTTTGTTATGTAACCAAATGGAAATTCCAATTATGTTTTCAGAATTTACACCATGATTACGTTAAGAATCTCTATAAGTATCAAAATTTATGCATCTCAACTAATTTCTCGGGGTCATAAATCATGAAATTAACGATCAAGTAACATCAAATAACTTCTATCACCCCATCCAACCACCCAGAGATAATTAATTGAGACTTATGTTCATAACATATATATAATATTCCTATAAAAAGTCACTAAGATAATTGAAATTTCAATCCCCAAAACCAGGTAAATGAGTGAAGAATCAATAGCCATAAACAATATAATAGTACAAACTACAGTAGCATAAGGAAAAGTTCGGTGTCTATATATACAAACAGACTTGATTTTGTGCCATGAAATACGTTCTAAATCACCCACAAACACCTCTCCTTTAAGAAAATCATGGAAGAAGAGCAAGAGCTCATTGCTCAGCAAGCGGGACTCAGCATAAGCTCAGTAGAAAAAGGCTCGTCAACCGCAACCAAACTAGAGTTGACTGTTGATGAAGTTATAGAAGGATACATTGGATCCTTCGGCTTGTCTCAGATTTTGCATGTGTTCTTGGTTTCGTTGGCCTGGACTTTTGATTCACAAAACACTTTGGCGACGATCTTCAGTGACGCTCAGCCATCTTCCTGGAGATGCAAAGCCGGTTCTGTGTGTGAAGGAGATCAGAGCTCCGCCGCTTCTGTTTGTGCGTTGGCGCCGGGGACTTGGGAATGGATAGGTGGGAAGACGAGTTCCACCATTGCTGAGTGGAGTCTCATTTGTGACCGCAAGTTTCTTCCTGCCATTCCTGCTTCACTTTTCTTTCTTGGTTCTCTTCTGGGTATGTTTATAAAATGAAATGCTTCTCTTAATTTATTTCGCATAAATTTTCTATGTTTTTATTGAAGGCGTTACATCCCCTCGTTTTGTCGAGAGTTAAAGACATTATTTTTAAAAATGAAATGAATTCTGATGAAATTTATGTAACTCAATTAAGTAGAAATTGTCAATTTCTGTGTCAGGATCTGCTTTTTTTGGCCGCTTGGCAGACAAACGCCTGGGAAGAAAGAGAACAGTTCTTCTCTCGTGTCTTTTAACTTCTGCTACTTCATTTCTTACTTCCCTCTCACCAAACATTTGGATTTACGCTTTGCTTCGCTTTTCAAACGGCTTTGCTCGTGCTGGAATCGGAATCTGCTGCCTGGTTCTCTCCACAGAAGCCGTTGGCCGCAAATGGCGCGGCCAAGTTGGACAGTACGGCTTCTTCTTCTTCACGGCAGGCTTTCTTTCGCTTCCTATGATAGGTTATTCGACCAGAACTTGTTGGAGAACTCTGTACAAGATTCTATCTCTTTTCCCTCTCGTTTACTCTATCGTTTTTCTCCCTTTTGTATCCGAATCGCCTCGTTGGCTGCTTGTCATGGGACGGAGTAAAGAAGCTCTTGATGTGTTGAAAAACTTCGCCAGGCTTAACGGGAAGAAGCTGCCAACGAATTTGAGCCTCGCAAATCCTTCTTCTTCAGGAAACAAAACGGGATGCGAAGGTGAGTCTATTTATCAAATCGTGTGTCATCATGTTTAACATTGACATATAAATAAAGTGATGATACGTTGAATAATATGAAAATACTTATATACAGTACCTATATACATGGACGTATAAATAAAGTGATAATACATTAAATAATTAACGATACCTTTTCTTGAAGAATCTGCAGAAAGATCAGCAGCTGATGCAAACGAGAGCCTGTGGACGACAAAGTGGGCGGCTCAGAGAATGATTCTGGTTATGTTTACAGGTTTTGGAGTTGGGTTTGTTTATTACGGGATTCAACTCAATGTTGAAAACCTCAACTTTGATCTCTACTTCTCAGTCGCCTTCAATGCATTAATGGAGATTCCTGCAGTCATCATCGGAACCGTTCTCCTGAGCTTCACAAACAGGCGTTTTCTCTTCTCTCAATCCGCCTTTCTAGCCGGAGTTTCATGCATTCTCTGCATATTTTTCTCCAACAATGGAGCCCAAAACCAAACAAAAGCCGCTAAATCTGGCGGAAGTTGGCCTCAACTCACCATTGAAGCAATCGGATTCATGGCAGCTTCAACCGCCTTTGATGTTCTATACATTTACTGCGTCGAACTCTTCCCCACCAATGTGAGAAACTTTGCAGTCTCCTTTCTGCGCCAAGCTTTGATGTTGGGGGCTTCAGTTTCGCCATCGCTGGTTGTTCTTGGCCGCCTGAGCCCCTCTCTTTCGTTTCTCATTTTTGGGGGCTTCGCGATATTCAGTGGAGTCCTGAGCTTGTGGCTGCCGGAAACGAAGGATGCTCCGCTCTGTGAGACGCTGAATATGCAGCAAGAAGAAGAGGAGATACGGAGAAGAAATTTATCAGGTGAAAATCATGTGTTTGAACTTGGAAATTGTGATAGTGATGATAATCTAGAAAAGTTGTGAATCTTGATTAATTATAATTACTCTCTAGAGCGGGTTGCCATCATAAACTATTGTATTTGAGAATGTTATATTGCATACATTACTTGAAGATTATTTAAAATATTTAAAGAAATATGTTTGGTTGGTTAGAATAAATTGGTGGACATGTTATATTAATATGTTTGATTGAAAGAATTAAATTGATGGGTATATCATATAAATTACTAAATTGCCCTCTTTTTTTAATATTAATATAATATTATTTTTTAAATAATTTCTTTTAACCTCCTATATTTCAAATTTAGCTAAAACACCCCAAAAATAAAAAAGTTTAAAACTTAACAAAAATATTCCCACTAACCCCAAGCCACTGTTGGCGGCTTGCCAACACCACTAGCAATGGAGACCTGGCCGTGAAAGGCCAAATATTTGGCTGTGAAACAACGACCAAATATCTGACCTTTCACGATTAGGTCTGGTTGTTTCTGGCCATGAATCACAAATCCATGGTCGGAAACAACCTTATCGGTGCATAAGCGGCCTTATCCATTCCGTCGTCGCCGACGGTTGGGGGTGGTAGCCAGATCTGACCACCACCCTTTGGTAATTTTTTAAATTCCAAGAGTATTTATATCTTTAAAACTTTGTATTTAAGGATAAAGTAGTCAATTGATATTTTTGTAAATTGTTTTTAAAACAAGGGCATTATTGTCCTAAAATTGTATTAATAAGGGGTAAAAGTGTAACAAAGATAAGATTACCAAGTAATCTTAAAATACCTAAGAAAATAGAGGTAGTAAGATTACCTCTTATATTACCAACAATAACTACTATTGGTATCGGAAGATTATCGAAATTTTATATTACTTGATAACCAAATGTGGTAATCAAGAAGTATAAAATAACATTGCCTTAGTAATTCAACATTACCTTCAATCAAACATACCCTACGAGTAATGCTAGATGTACAAAAGAAAACTTACAAAGATTTAGGTACAAAATGATGTGACAAGAAATGAATGAAAGAGTAAATATGATAGGTTTGACTTTTTTATTCACTATTTTATTCATTTTCTGTCATATCACATTATATAAAACTCTTTGTAAAATTTCTTTATACGTACAGCATTATTGAAAAAATAAATAGTCAATGGAACTCTTTATGTCTTATGTGGTAAAATTTAAAAGATGGGAAACTCATGGAAATAGCCATATTTGAGGGACTAATATAAAATTTAAGAAAAAATATTTTCCTGTTACCTAGTTTAATCATTCATCCTATAAAATGACAAAATTACTTATTATTCCACAACTTCGTAAAACAAATTCTCAACACAATTACACTCGCTAGACATATAGAAATGTTAGATGTACAAAGAGTCTTTATACAAAGTGATGTGACAGTTACCACACTACCCATTTATGAAAAGAAAGAGAAGATTGATGTGAAACTGGTAGTGTGACAGCTACACTTTTTTGTTAATGAGCTCGTCAGCAGACAATTCAATCAAAGTAAGATGAACATCTTTCTTTTTTCAAATTTTTTTTATGAATTTCATGAGTTATAGTATATAATTAAATGATAATCTGATTCAGTTGACGTATTATTGATTATTTGTATAATGTTCATTGAATTAGACATATTAACTTTTGTAGATGTGGACTTTTGACAGAAGTGATGGAGATCCTCGTCTATTACGCTTTCGAAGTGGGCATAGTGCTCCTCCACTTTGCATCAGGTAATGATGCTATCCCTTTTGATTTTACGTGACTATAATATCAACATGATTGAAGTTTTCTTCTTATATCAGTTTATAACCCTGCGAGTCTTTATTCTTTTTGTGATATGGTCTTGTAAGATTTCAGTTTCACGACATTCTTACAACTTTGTGCCTTATTCTTTTGTTTTTGTCCCCTGTTACAATGTTATTTATTTGAAGGTTCGATAAATTTTAGGGATTTCTTATGGCGTAGAAGCAAGAAAGATTTTATTAATTAGAATGAGATACAATACTTCGTTATTATTTAGACTGCATAACTGAAAGACAAATGAGCAATAGGCTTTTCGAAAACGAGTGGTTGCAATGTGCTCCAATATCAAGAATTTTAACCATATTTCCTACATGGGAGAATAATAAATTTCATATTGCTTTAATTATTTTCTCTATATAGGTAGTTGTACATGTTCTTTTTATCTAAAATCTGAATAGCTATGAACGTGACTGAAATTTTGATATACAAATCTGAATGATATTTTTTCCCTTAATATCCATTTTTTTAAGTTCTAAATTTGTTTTTTTCAACAAAATTCTAAAGATCTGGCATCCGGTGTATTGTATCCATTCGGATCATTATAATCTTTGTGCAGCCTACTTATATTGTCATGCTAAACTCGATAGTTGGTAATTTTTCAGGGTAAATCGGTGTATGTTCTCTGGAGCATCAAATATTGATTCTTTAGCAAGTGGGAAGGAAATTGCGAGCATTAAAATGCCATCTGTTTCTTCAGTAGAAGGTTCTGAAGACAAGCATTCTACTAACTCTGTTATAGACCGCAGAGAGTCTAAAGACAATTCTGTTTCTTCAACTTCCAATCAGCAGATCCTAGATTTAGTTACTCTGTCACTGTTGCCTAAAAGCCAATGGCAAAGTTTGATCAATTTGGATATTATAAAGGTCACTATTTACTCTATGCTTTTTTATTTTAACCTGTTAACCTTTACACTATTCATTTCCATTTTAAACTTCTTAACCTTAGTTCACGATATCTATAGTTTACTCTTTTCCAGATTTGTTTGGTTTATGACTTTGTTTGTTGCTTTCTGCATGATGAATCCGAACAACTTTCAGGCTCGGAATAAACCAATCGAGCCTCCTAAGAAACCTGAGAAGGCTCCATTCTTCTTGCCTTCAATTCCATCTCTTTCTGGAGAAATATCCTTCAAGCCTAGTGAGTCCACAAAGGATGAGGATACAGAAAATGACAAAGAGGAAATCAGATTTTTCAATTGCGAGCTTGCTATCTCGTATAAAGTCATTTTTCAATTCCTTGTCAAGTATCTCTATGAAATGTTCTAGTGTCTGACATTTGTTTACTTTAAACATGTTGCAGTTTCGTTATTTACCGATTATATGAAAAGTTTTGGATATGGAACTCCGGATGCTTCAGATTATAGATGATGACGATGAAGAACTTGACAAAAGACCTGAGTTTATTTCATTTGAACTGCTTCTGGATTATTTTATTCATGAGATTTCCTGCAGGGACAATTTTGAGTTTATACAAGCTGTTATCAGGTTGTTTCTGAAGGTATTGACTCTTGCTTTTCTCATGTCAACTCCTTGTCTAAAAAGCATTTTCATTATTGATTTATAAAACCATGTTGATTCTGGGGAAAAATTGTAATCTCTTCTACATTTTTTTGTTCAGATACATGGTGAGACAATACGATGCCACTCCAAATTACAGGATAAAGCAAGAGAGCTTCTCGAAGTTCAATCCGCAGTATGGGAGAGAATAGACAAGCTGTTCCAAAGTGCTACATGCATGGTCAGTTTCCTTAGTAATTCAAAATTTTAGGCTTTTATTCTCTTTTATATTTTTAAATTTCTTAGGTTTTTTAATTTAACTAAACACTCCATATAATCAAACATTTAAAATTAACAAAAATATTTTTACTCACCCATTAAATATCGGCAATCGGCCACCTTCTGGTAGTGGTGGTCGGCTTTCGGCATTTAATGAGTGGATGGAGGTATTTTTGTTAATTTCAATATTTTATTGTAGAGGGTGTTTAGCTAAATTAACAAACCTAGAATGTGTTTTTATTAATTTTCAAATCATATCCTCGTAATAATAACCAAACTCAACTTTTTTAAAAATACTTATCAAAATAATAAAACAAACACAACTAGAAATGATTGTGATAGCAATTTAGATTTGTCTATGCCATCTTAACTATAGAGAATAAAATATATTTATTTTAATTTGTAATATCCAGAAGTTTTTTTTTTTTTTAATTAAGTTGTTTAGATTGGTTTACACTACTTCGACTAATCATAGGAGAAGACTAATATATCAATCCACTTAAAAGTTATTTGTTATCAACATAGAATATACTAATTACAATTGGCTTAGGAATTGAGTCTGTCAATGAAAGTCAATCGACCAAATGGTTGATTGAAAGTAATGTTATATATATAAATTCATTGCATAAATTAATTATTTGTTTTAATAATTTTGTTTGAAAAAATAAATTTAGAAAAAGATATAAGTTACAAAAGACATTCACAAATTTGGAAATATTTTTTTAAAATTTTTGTTTTTATTTTATTTAAAATAATTTAACAAATTATCGGCAATACAAAATTCAAATATTTGATTTTATATTTTATTTCATGTCAAAATAATTTCACAAATTAATACTAAGAACCGCAAGATTATAAATGAGCTACAAATTAACAATATTACGACATTTACAAAATCTGTTCATATAACAAACTATAAAATTTAATTTATGCAATTAATTTATAAAAGGTTTTATTATTCTTATTTTTTCAGAGTAAACGACAATGTCCCACCCCTAGTTTCGTAAATTCTAAATTCTTACTCTTAAATTAACAGAAAGTGGTTCAATGTAATGGTTAAAGGGTAAATTGGTCATTTATACTATATTAAATTTGAAATAAAAATGAAAATTTCAAAATAATCCTCCGCATCTCAAATTTCTCTCACAAGCACCCTCCACATCTTAAGTTTGAAATATGACGATCGTACCCTTCCGAGAGAAACGCGACTCGACAACTTGCGGATAGCAAACGATGAGTTGGGGGGGCCAGTGGAGGTGTGGATTTTGTTGAGGAGAGGATGGGGGTTCGAATAGTTGTGAAAGCGGGTATTTTCAGTGTCAATTCCAGTCGAAATCTGGTCGTAAACTTGGAGAATTGTGTGAGATTGCAAGGGTTGTCAGTTGGCGATTTGTGGGTACATGAGGTGGGAGTGTGAGGGGTTTTGGTGATTGTGGCATGTGGGTTCTGATGGTGGTGATGGGGGAGCTTGGTGATGTCGGAATGACCGGAAATGACCTAGGAGCGACAGTGGGTGAGAGGAAAAGTCGTGAAAATTGCGTAATCCG